GCACTTCAGGTTACCGAGCAGTCTAAATTTGTCAAAGTCACAGGGCTGGGAGGCAGGTCGTTGCTGGTGGCAGAGGTGGCAGAAATCCGAAGCCAGGGCTGTCAGAATGAATCTGAGAGCGTATGCAATGACCTCAAGGTCATGCAGTGGCAGAAGCAAGCCCAGGTCTCATGAGCCTTAGTGTTTACTGAGCCCCTGTGCCTGGGAGGCAGGGTGACCTGCTGGTCCATGCTTCCCTCTGCCCCACCGCACATCCCTGACGGTTCAGTTTACCCAATGTTCGCTTGGATTCATTGGCATCAGAGCACTTGCATGGCACGGGAGTGGCCTTGGTCTTTTCCTAAGTGTTTGGTTTCTGAGTCTCAGTCTCATGGCCTGAAAAATAGGGCCCAGCAAGACTGACTTGAGAAGGCTGTTGTGAAGGTGATGACGCGCAGCCTGGGAAAGAGCTTCACAGCTTGCTGGGCACACGCGGGCTTCCCAGGGCTCTTTCCTTGCGGGGGTACCGAGTCTTCGCCATCCCAGTGGCTCCAACATGTGGCATATAGCAGGTGTTCAGGGACAATCTGCTGAAGGAATGAACCAGTCAGCATGAGTTTTGAGGATCCTCTGATTTTCTGATGTCCCTGCACTACCTTATAAAATCTCCATTCACATTATACTTGTTCCCTGACTCAACTGATTAACAAACATTTAATATGTGACTATTATGGGCAAAACTACTTTTAGTAATGATGATTACTCATAATACTAATATTTTACTAATAATAACAAATATTTTAAGCTCTGATGAGGGCTCAAAAATTACACTTGGGGGTATTTTTCAAATATCTACCATTATTCTCCACATCAGCCCACTGAGGTAATGCATCAGTCAGCTACTGCCACAATACTGCTGTGTAACAAAATGCTGGCATTCAATGACTTAACAACAAGAAGAATTTTTTTTCCACCCTTGTTTATGTGCCTGCAGGCCAGCTGAAGTGGTTCTGAGTCCAGCTCCAGGTGGGGTGACTTGGTTCCAAGCTACCAGTTGAGTTCAGGTCTGCTCCATGGGAGCTGATTCTACAGCCTTGCTGGAAGGGACGGCTGTTATTCAGGATGCATTTTTCTCATGATGTGCTACCAGGATGTGAGACAGCAAGCCCAGCCTTGCAAGCAAATTTCAAACATATTTCCTTAATATCTTATTATGTAAACAATACAAAAGTCAAGGGACAGAGACTCACAGTCCATGCCACGGGGATGTGACAGGATGTGAATGCATAGTGTCTCTGCCGTGTGTGGGTACGGTTTGCTGGTGTCCCTCAGAGGTTCATGTGGTGACATCTAATCCCCATGTGAGGTAGTAAGAGGGTAGAAATTTAATTCTTACTATAATGTTTAGAGGCAGGGCCTTTGGGAGGTGGTTAGAATTAGATAAGGTCATTAGGGTGGAGCCCCTCTGATTGAATACTTGTGACTTTATAAAAAGAGGGAGAGAGACCAAAACATTACCTCTCTCTCTCTCTCCCTCTCTCTTTTGGATACCCTGAGCCAGCAAGAAGGCCATCACCAGATCAGATTCTTGAGTCTTTAGAATTGTGAGCTAAATAAACTTCTTTTCTATATGAGGCTCTCAGCTTCAGGTATTTTGTTACAGTAACAAAATGGACTAATGCAACCACCATGGGAGAATGAATAGCTAGGATCAATAATTCAATGTGCCACTGGTTGGTACTACTGGTCAGTCCTAAACTGAAGCACAGAAAAGAGTGACCTGCCCAAGGTTACTCAGTAAGTGACAGAAATAGGACTAAACCAAGGCAATGTAACTCCATAATAATGGAGGCCTACGAGTCATACCCCGGGGAAAATGATGTTTATTTTCTTAAATTGTCTGTTTTTTTTTTTTCCCCCACAAGTTGCCAGTGCTCTGTCAGCACCAGTCCCTCTCATGGTTACATATCCATCTGTCCATCTATTCAACCCATTCACACATGCCTGGCATTTGGGTTTTTCTCTCAGCTCTGCAGAATAACAGGTCCAAGTGCAATTCTTGGATAAGCTTTTGAAATTAATGTTGAGGGGGGAAAAAATCACCCTCCAGTTAATCTTAGCCACATGTATAAATACCTTTGGAAAGTCCCTGGTGGAACTCATATCAAAGCGGCACCGAGATTTTACTTAAAAACAATTTGCTCCACGTCAGCCGTGATTTCTGACACCTGAATTTGAAAGTCCTCTGGGTGGGCCCAACGCCATCTCCATAACAGGGCATGTGTTTGCTTGGAGAGAACAGAGGAAAGACGGCTGTATGTGTGGCCACAGAACAAGGTTCCACACGCACTCACAGGAGGGGATTTCCTCCTTGCTGTTTCCATAGAACCTTCCCTGTGTTTGCTTAAACCTGCTGCACGCTCTGGTCTGACAGATGCGTGGCCCAGAGCCTTCCTGGCAGACGCCTGCACAACTCACCCTCTTTAACAGCAACCTGCACTGTGTCCCCCCCGATGCAATTACTCGAGTACATAAACCTCACTGAAAGGCAGGCTTTTCTTGGGAGCTAATAAATAAGCCCCAAAGCCACAACATGTGTAAGACCTAGAAAAATGGCATCATCATCTATTGGGAATTGTGAACCCTGCAAAAACAGCTCATTGTATTTTCAGAAAAAGCTTTTTGTTTAAAAAAATAATAATAAAGAACAAAAATCACCAAGTGGAGTCTATATGGAAAAAGCAATCTCGTCTGAGATTCTAGGGCAGGTCTCATTGCTGCATTAATCCTTCTTCACAGATTTTATGTAAGAGGCATTATTTGTAGGAGAACAAGACAGGGTTTTAAAGAACCCCTTCTCCTCCAGGGTTCCCATCTGCAGTTATAATCCTCTGACTGTGATCTCTGAATTAGTTGCCATGGGTGCTGAACAGAAGTTTACCACCTCAGGGTGGTAATAGCTTCTGAGGGGAAGGATGAAACCTTCCGCAGTAAACAGAAAAGTGGGGAAAAACATTCTCAAGAGCCAACCTTCACACCTGGGCCAGCACTCTACAGTTTAGGAAGCACTTTTCTGATTGCTTTAAGGAACACAGTGCTGGCCTCCCGCCATGGGAACATGGGCAGGCCGAAGACTGCAGATTCGTTTCTGTCCTTCCGACCTCAGTTCCCTGGGAGGCTAGGCTTGGTGTTCTAAGAGCCCCGAGCCAGTCTTCCAGTTTCGTGTCTTTCCATTTACCATGCTATCTGCCCCCCAGAGTTGGGAGAAATCCTCCATTGGAGTCATCCTTTGTCCCGGGGCCGTCCAGGTGGCTCCCTAGAGCAGCCGCCTTGGGGTCACTGCAGCAGGCAGTGCCGCTCCAGGTCCCGCAGAGCCTTACCTCCACCAAGAAGCAAATACACTGGGCCAAGGAGCCAGACCAGCCTTCACAGGATGCAAAAATACAACAGAGGGCGCCGAACCCACCAGCGCCATGGCCTTGAATATCAATGTATGGGCTGGCTCCAGACCGCCAAGTTCCTTAAAAATGTCTCTGGCGGGGGTCCCTGCCAGACTTTCGGTTTGCTATTTGCAACCACCACATCACACAACAGTGTTTACTTGGAAGGGGAGGGGGCGGAGACCAAACCCACCGCTTGGCGCACACGCCTTGATCTCACATTCCAGACTCGAGCTGATGTGTGTCAGCGCGACATGGGGCGGGGGGAGGGTTCTATCGGATGTTTCATTCGCCATCTGCACGTCACTCCCAAACTTTTCCTCCCTGCGCTCTGGGAGTCAGGTTGACGCTCCCTGGATGCGGGGCTCCACGCGCGGTGCTGGGCGCGCTCCCGCGGAGCTGGAGCTGCAGAGGAGGCTTCCGGGAGGACCTCGGGCTTTTCAGGTACAAGTTGGGAGCTAGGTGCCGGGGTGGGGGCGGCAAGGAGCGGCGGGCGAAGGTCTGGCTTCGGGCTCAAGGCTCCGGCGCCCCTCTGCGGGTTCGGGCTGGGCAGCGCCGGCGGAGGCCTGGGCTGGGCGTTCGGAGTCCGGGCGGCGGAGGCTGCGCGCAGTCTCACTCTCCTCGGCGCTCCCGGCGCGGAGGCGGCGGCGGCCCAGGCAGACAATGAACTTGCGAGCGCGCGGAGCCGAGGCAGATTTGGGCCCCGCTCCGCTTGGCCTGGCCTCCCCGAAGCTTCTGCGATCCCCAGCGGGAGGCTTCTCCTCGCCACTGGTGTTGGCCGCGCTCCGGGAGCCCAGTGCTCTTGGGGACCCTGCGGGAAGGGCTGCCCGTTGGCTGCGCCGGGGCTCACACGCCCCCTCCCTACCCCCGAGAGATGTGGCCGGAGCTAGGGGACTGGGGACCTGGCGGTGGCGTGGTGGCGCTGTGTATAGCTGGAGGCTGGTGGAGGGCGCAAGCTGCGGGGCACGCACTGGCCGGCTGGCCGGCTGAACCACCCTCCCCAGGAGCAGGAATCGGGGCGCCCCTGCGCTGCCACCGTCTGGGACTTGCAGAGGACGGACGGACCGACAGAAGAGTGATTTCACGGTGCAAGCGCGCACTGGATAGTGTCGGGGACTGAATTCCCCCCGGCCGTGCGCTCCTCACCCCCAATCCCGCTTCCAGTACACTTCGGGGAAGTTTCCCGGCGCGGCCCAGGGCAGGTAGGTAGGCATGGGCTACTCTCTCTCGGAGCTCCGGCTCAGAGCCGCCTTCAGAATCTCAGCTCGTCCTGCAGCCACTCCGGGCGGGAAGGCGGAGGGTGTCTGGCGCCGACGCTCTTGGGAGAGGGGACCGCGAGGACCGGCCTGAGAAGATGAGGGCGCATCTGAGCCCCGCGCGGCCTGAACTTTTGCTCCCGCCTTTCCTCCCCGCCCCCGCCCTTCGTCCCCGGTTCTCTTCCCGCGCCCGGCAGCGTCTCCGGAGGCGGCGTGACTCGGGAGTTGCCGGCGCTTCTCCGCCGTCCTCGGCCAGTCTGGGCGCGGCGAACCGAGCGAGGAGGTCTGAGCCGCGCTGTGGGGCGGCAGCTCGGAGCCCGGGCTGCAGGCGGCGAGTCGGGAAGGCAGCGGCCCCGGCGCGGGGGCGACGCTGGCAATTGTGATGGAGAGCTAGTCCGTTGGGCTGTGTCTGCCAGTGCGAGAGGACGCGGTGACTGAGGGTGCCTGGTGGCGGGTCGTGGCGCAGTTGACCCGGCGGAGCTCCTGGGATCGCGGAGGGAGGCGCCGAGGTGGAGGGAGCCCGGCCTCCCCGGGAATGAATGGAAGCTGGGAAGCGCCTTCCGACTCCCACTCTGGGAGAACCTACTGGCCGACGCGCGCGAGAGAGTGTGGTGTTTGGGATTCGGAGCCGCCTGGGTCCAGGCACCGCAGTTTGACTGCCGGGTCGCTGTCTGGGTGCCCACGTTGCTTACCGGGGAGAGGCTGGCGTTGCTGGAACAGCGGGTGTAGATGCCCAAGGCTCGGTTGCCGGCTGCCAGCCCCAGACGTCTCGGTTCCCCAAGAAGGTAGCCAGGCTGGGGGCTGGGACCGGCGCCTGCGGGAGGGGGGCTTCCCTGTCTCCCTCCGGGTGCGAGTCCCCCGTGACAGCTGGGCTTCATCGCCATGTTCTCCGTGGGTAAGTTAATGGTATGGAGTTTTCCAGAATGAAGTTGTGGCTCCAGAGATCTCGCTAAGGCATGTGGACAGCATTTCGGGGGGGGGGGCAGCTGCCCCCAGCCCCTTTATCAGCTGTGATTCCTGTATGGTGTGGCCTCTGCTCTGGCTTAGGGTAGCCACCTGAAAAGGCCCACCCTGAGGTTGCCCAGGAGGAAACAGGCCTAGAGATTCGCTCAAAGTTTCTCTTGGACCCTCCCTTACCATTCTCCACCCAGAGCTTTCTTAACCCCCCTTCTACCACCACAGCAGTGGAAAATAAGGCACCCTTCCTCTCAGAATAGGTCACTTTCTGATGTTCACAAGTGCAGCATAACCAGGATCTCTTGATTGGTACGTGAAGGCACACAGATCGGATTTTGTTCAAAATAGCATGAAATAAAAATGCCTTTTAATTAGGTAGTTTTTTTTTTTTTTTTACCAAACAAGTTTTTCTCCTCTCAAACAGATGAAGAACTGGGAGGAATTTTTTTCCCCCTTACCTCCTGGATGAGAAAACGGAGCCTGTTTTCTCTATCAGGCTGCAGGTGAGCATGAAGAGGAGCTGTAGGGCTGGTCTTTCCTCCAACCAACGTCCCCCTTCCTGGGGTAGAAGTTTCAGGGGTCTCTTAAGGCAAACTGAATGGTGTCCTTCTCCCTGTGGGCAGTGACTGATGGGGCCAGCGAGTGGCATCCAGGATATCATGGTAGGGAGGCTGGTCTGCCTTGTTCTTCTTTGATGGTTAAAGCATGTGACCCCTGGACCTCTGTCCTGACCAGATCTAGCATGGTGACCATGGCTGCTGTTTCCGTCCACACCTTTCTCCTCTAAAGGTGAGGTGTCAGAAGAGCCTCTTGGCTTTCCCCATGTCTGAGAGAGAGAGAAGGCCCTGCCTGGGGAAGAAGGGATGTTTCAGGGAAGGTCGGGCAGGTGGGAGCAGACTCTGCTTATTGGTGACTTGAGAAGAAACAGGAAAATAACCCCAACTGAGCCCCAGAGCTGGACAGTGGGGCTGCATGAGGGGCATCTATAGATCATTGGGCTGAGGCAGCTACAGTTCAGGGGGTTGGGGGAGGCTGGCAGGGAGGTATCTTGAACAGGCCAGTGCATGTCCACTCACAGGGGACACCCTCCACTCAGCTCCAACCATTTGGGAGAAAGCAGAGTTTACAGGTCTTGTCAATTTTCAATACCATTCCCAGGCCTCCATATTGAGGTATGGTCTCAAATTCAAGACGTATGGGAGAAGGGCAGGGGCGAGAGCCCTTCCCAGAGTCTAGAGCTTGACATTGGGCCCTGTGTATATGTCAGGAGGGTGTCATATGGTATAGAGGCAGGACGCACTAGAGGACAGAGGAATTACCCCCCATGGGCCAGGTGACTGAGAATTGAAGGCTGCCTGTCATGCTGGTGGCTGGTGGCTGGTGGGATGGGAGGTGCCCATTGGGTTCATGGGCAAGCCTGCATGTCGGGCCTTCAGTAGCTAATCCACGAACCCCATTGTGTGGTCAGCAAGACTCTGCACAAAACCTCTCATATAATTTCATTCCATCACATGGAACCCATGGTTAAACTTCTGGGGAGGATACTGTGAGGGTAAGATAAAAAGGGACCCAGTGTTCATGGGAGCATTCAGCATGGGATGACCATCACCTGGGGTATGCACCTTTCATGTTTAACACCATGGGGGACTTAGCATCAGACAGCATCAGAGAGATGAGTGGCCCCTGAGTTGCAGTTAGACCTGGAGGGACAAAGCTGAGAAGAAGGATAAGGACAAAGCACAGCAAGGTTCAGGAGAAGGTGGGTTGAGTGGAGGGGTCTCTTCTTGCCACACGTAGGAGCGAAGGCTCAGAACAACAGAGCGACTTGCCCAGGTTCACACAGCTGATAACAGAAGCCAGCCCCAGCCCCAGCCCCAGGTCCCGCTCTTAGACCTGCCCCCTCAACACTGCTCCCAGATGAACTGATGCTCCCTGTAGTTGGGAGCTGACCATCTTCTTCTCCACACTTCCTGACCCCTCCCCTTCCTCAGGGCCTCAGCAGGCACAGGATGGCAGAGGTGCCTCCTGAAGGCCATTTGTGGAAGAGAGGAGTTGTCTTAAATTTCTAAAAGAAACTACTTTTAAAAGTCATAGTTGGCTTGAAGAGTGTCATTCCTTTGAGCAATCAGCCAAGGGACATGTCTTTAGCACTATGATTTAGAAGTGACTCTTTCAGTCAATGGTGAGAACTTTGCAACCCCTCTCCCCTCTGCTCTGTAATTGGGGAGCTCAGGTAGGATATTGTTACTTCAAAGGGTAACTTTGTTCCCAGGCAGTGAATAAAGAGATCATGTTCCTGCAGCTGGCTAAGTACCAGACAGGGTTTGGACTTGCGTGATGTATTTCTTTATTGTTCTCAAGTGTTAGGGTCTGATTTCGCTACTGAGATGGCTTCCCTTTTAAAACAAAGTGCCAGGAACAAAGTAATGGATGTGTAGACCTGTGTCCCCACAGACGCGAAGAGGCAGAAATGTGGTGGCTCCCTACATGGCATGTCCAGTCTCAACATCCAGGAGGAGAGGTAAAGGGCTTGTGTGGGTTCGGGCCAGCATAGAATTTTTTTTTTTTAATATGAAATTTGAGAAGGAAGGTGGTTGATAATAATAGCGGTCACTAACTGTGTCCCTTCAAGTTCACAGCTGGCCTTGTGCTGGACAGGTCCCACGGGTGTATCTCCTTGCCTCCTAAGCTTAGAGGGCTGTGAGGCTGCTGTGGCCCTCCAGAGGTGCAGGAGGAAGGAGCAAGGGCTGACAGCAGAGGCAGGTGGGAATGGGGATGGGTGGGAGGAGAATAATGATCGTGGCTCCAGAAGGAAAAGGCAGGCGTGAATCAGCAAGCAGGGAGGTGGGGAGAGGTGGCGAGTGGGAAGCCGTTTCTCATCTTTGCAGGATTCCAAGGAATGTGGAGGATAGGGAGCCCAACGGTGGCTGCTGTTTGCAGCAGCGACCTGCAGGGTTATGTGTTCCCCCTCAGTGCAGCCCTGGGCTGGTGCATGGGGGCCGAGAGGCAGCACTCAGCACGCAGTGGCACAGCACTCAGCTCAGTGGGCGAGGCCGAACTTGTGCAAGTCAGAATTATATAATGCTGCTCACAGGCGCCTTGGAGGGGCCTCGGGAAAGTGGGATCTAGTTGGCAACCTGGAGATTGGAGTCCTCTGGGACGGCTTCACTACCCTCTGGCTCTCATGCCTGTGTGCCATAAAAGAGTGAAGTCCTGCCAGGTACTTGACAAAGTACCTGGTATACAATAAGTGCTCAGTAAACATTGATTCTTGTGGTATTCTGTAGCTCTGGAGCTCATAACCAGAGATGGAAGAATGTCATGCCAAATTATCTATCTATTTAACTCTTGTAGGGGATGGAGAGCTGGCAGGTCTCAACATCCAGGAGGAGAGGTAAAGAGATAGTCTATCTCAAGAAGCATGAGGCCAGACGTTGGTTTGGGCCAGCATAGAATTTTGCTTGTTGCCTTTTTTTTGGCTGCCTTGGATTCAGCTGGGGTTCTCAGGCTGGTCGCTTTACCTTTCTGGGCTGTTTCCTCACCTGGGACTCTCGCCCCGTGCTCCTGGCCCAGGGCTGCGCCTAGGGAAACATGCACACCTTGCAGATGGCTGCTGCAAGCACAGACGGGCACCACCCCTTTCCTCCACATCCCTTGGAGCTCTACAAAGATGAGAAGCTGTCCGAGGCTGGGGTCAGGCTGACCAAGCTCCTGTTTGATGCACAGGAGAGCAGTCAGCTTTTCGTGGTGATGTGCTGGCGTGGCTCACTTGGGTGTCATATCTTGAGTCCCTCTCTAAGCTTAAAAGGGTCCTGAGCAGGGGTGTTGGGGCCTCCTGGCCAGGGCAGGCACTCCTGACACCTGTGTTTCATTTCTAGATCTCATCCTGGGCTGGGCCTTTTAGGTTTGTGAGGAAAGTAAGGCTGGCAGATCCTCAAAAGCAGAGGTGTCATTATAATGGAAACTTGGACACTTTCCAGAATTGTGTTTGTGGTGAAAATATTGAAACGGGCAGCCCCGTTCCTGGTGCCTGGAAAGTACCCCAACATGGGCAAATAATTAGGTGCAGGTGGACCCAATTATGCTTTTCCTACACTGTGTTGGAACCTGGGGGTCCAACATTTTCTCTTGAAATGGAATGTATGCCTGCTGGGCCATTTTGCTCCCTGTGGTCAAAAAGATAGTGGAGTGGCTGCCAGGAAGGAAGACAGGCCAGCACGGAGCTCTGTCCTGGTTTTTGTGTCCTTGTATGTAGCTGTCCTGTGGGTCTGGGCCCCTGGCACCTTTGCCCTGAGATCTGAACCAGCATTTCAAAGAAGGAAAGATGGAGAAGTGTAGGTGTACTGTTAATCTCGCCCTCTTTGAAAGGGGAATGGCAGCCTGTCTGCCCTTTCGTCTTGCCTGCAAGCCTCCCCACACTGAGGGAAGTACGCTCAGCCAGCATTTTGCATTTCCCTTCAGCAAGGTTTGGGGCAGATGTCCTTCTAACCAGGGTTGGATCCTGTGTGCACTCAGAGGGGCCGCCTAGGTCATGGGCTGACCCTGGGCTCCTTGCTGATTTGGGCTTGGGTCTAATCCTGGACAAGTGGCTTCATCTTGTGCTTTGGTTTGCTCATTTATAAAATGGGATGAACTCTACTTTGTGGGGTGGTTAAGTACTAGACATGGTATGCTTAAGGGTTCAGGGGAGCTCTCCAAATCCTCCCACTGTGTTGGCCCAGTTCTGAACCTGCAGAGAGCCAGCTGAGGAGGAAGGCAGGCAGAGATAGATCCAGTGTGATGTTCGCTCCTGATGGAAGCCGTGGGAGCAGCTGGATTCCCACAGTCTCTCCAGGGTAGGCCCCTTTCTCCACTGGGCAACCGGCAGGGGAAGGGCTTGCTTGTAGTGGGGAACTTGCTCATTGCTCAGGCCTGGGAACTCCCTCACCATACCTGGGA